TATAAGATGAGTCGTTTTTTAAGCTATTTAAAACACTTGTAGTCGTGTTTTATCACATATAAAACACTCCGCTACGCGTCGTGTTTTATATGTTTATATGTGATAAAACACTCCTACGCGTGCTTTAAATAGTACATAAATATATATATATATATATATATATATATATATATATATATATATATATATATATATATATATATATATATATATATATATATATATATATATATATATAAGATTCTACAGTGGAAGATTCTATCTTCTAAGATTTTATCTTCTGATCGTCCCTCGATGAATCTTATGTCTCACTCGCTATTGCTATGGGAGATGGAGGTGATGTCTTCTGGTTTATTCACCAACCACGTTCACGAACATTTTAGCCAAATATTTACGCAGGGACGCTGGAGGCAGCGGGACAGCTGCTCCCATTGTCCAAACAGTGGGCGGGGGAGCACGTTGCCTTTTTTACTGGAACTGCACTTCGAAAGTCGCGCGGTATTTACCAACCTCGTACCAGGCTCTTACCTTCGCACGCCCTCAAAAGACCCTGGGTACGAGGTTGGGTATTTACATGAATTGAAATTGACAATTGTTTTAACTTTTAAGTACTTTAGTTCAGATTTGAATATGAAACTCCTGTCAGAAACGTTACCACCTTTATGAAAATAAATAAAAAAGAATGAGCCTTCCTAAATATTTGACAAACTGTCATATTGTTTTACAATACATTTTAGTCTTTAGCGTCATGCAAGGAATAAATATATTCTACAGTATAATCAATGCCGAACTTTGTCTAACTATATCGGCTACAAGTAGTGAAGTATCCGTGCAGCAAAATTTTGATGAACATTGCCGCCCACAAAAATTAACGCTCCGAAGTAAGTGCCCTTTTTAAATGCCCCCGTCGCTTCACGTTGCCAACGGAGCCCCTGTGTTTATACGACTTCTAAAAGTTGGTGAAATATCCTTTAATGGCTTTATTATCAAACGTTATCTAGATGACGAAGAAGTAGATATGAAAGCAGAGGAATGGATCGATCCTTTATTTCCATCTGCTGTCTTGGTTTCCTACTTAAATGAACTACCCAATTCGCTCTTACCTCCTGACATGTATGACAAAATTATAGGGATTGCAGGTAAGATTTTGAAATCTTCAGAAAAATTATAATGCACTTTTAACCATACGTGTAACAGCGCGTGTGCCGCGATATACCGCAGTATAACCGTCCTACATCTTCTATGGCATTTACCTATAATTTGCACATTGTTATTTTACTTTTTTACAATAACAATATATAAATTAGGTAAATGCATGAATTAAGCATGCGTGATAGACATTGGTGCCAAAAAATGAAAGTTTCATAAGCCATTTAAAGGACTTAAAATTGACTAAATTTTCTGATATTTGGACCATTGATAAAACACATAACAAATTTCTCTAATGCATTTTAAACTTTTAAATTTCGCGCGCAAGCTATTTTTAATGCTGCTAAAAAAGAAAAAATGTTTGTTTATTCTACATTATAATTAAGTACCCAAACAAACTATATTTATCAAACATTTCATGAAATGAACGGATTTATGAAATTGAGAGCCGTTTCAAAATTTTTTTGATACACCCTGTATTTATTCCATCAAATTTCTAAATACAAACTAAAATACAATACGATAAAACCATACTAAAAATACGGGTACACAATACACAGTGTACGGAAATATAAACTTGTAAAGTAAATTAATACAGTACATTAACTTACGTTATGGTCAGATCAGTAGTTATAGTTATTAGCAACCAATACACCTATCGCGAGCACAAAAAACCCTGGGTACGAGGATGTCGCGAGCCAACCAAAATGGCCGATTTTACTTTTGAACACCTGTTGTTTCGCAACATTTCTAATGTAGAATTGTCAAAAACGTGAATTATTGCAACCACAAAGTTTCAAATAAAACAACTTGTATCTCTGCATCACAAATTTTTTCAAAACCGGAATGCGGTAAAAACGTTCGGGTTTCGCGATAGATCTATTATGTTGTAGTCTTCTGTTAATATTAACCAAAACATTAAAAATTTCAATCAAAGGCGGACGCCGATACAATACGATTGATATTTTTTATTACATTTTTAACCTATACAGTATGTCTATTGTTCGTCTTCCCGACTACCACTTGTAGGTATTTGCATTTGTAGGTACTTCACAATTGCATATAGAGCGTTTGCACATGACGTCACAGCCGCCATGGTGGTGTTCCAATTCAAAAGAAATTTAACTCTTTTGTGGAAAAAGTTATTTCGCCGAGCTCAGAACTTTTTTTCTTCAAGATTGGTTTAGAAACAAACTTGGAGAATGGTTAGGTTAGGGTTAGGGTAAGGAGGTTAGAGTTAGTGTTTGGAATAGGGTTAGTGTTAGTAAAACCGTTGCTTTGTCACGTTTTGTCACTCTGAGGCCAGCGAAATAATCTCTTCCCTCTTTTGTCTGGAACACCAACATGGCCGCCATGGCTTTTGTTGAGTTGGTCCCTGGGGAAAGAGCGCAAACGCTCTATACCCATTCATGCGTTATAAACCAATCATTATTTAGAATCAATACATCGTTTAGATGCAGCATTAACCTTGGTTTTGATAGTTTGAACTTCAGACTATGCTCAACCTCAGTGATTGAATCAATGTTAAATTACCAAGTTACTTTTCCAAGTGATTAGGGGATGTGCATCCTTCCACCACCTTCGTAAATTACGTCAAAAATATTATTAGTATATCCCTTTCTGATGTTTGGTTAGTGAATCATATATTTTCTTTTGTATTAGAAATATCAAATGGAAATTCTGGTGCATTAGAAAGTGTTTTGGATTCTTTACCTCCCGTGAATGCTGAAATTTTAAAACTCGTTTTAGAGCATTTGAATCGGTATGTACTGTATATAAACAGATGCCTGGGGTTAAAACCAGCCTACAATCGTAAAGCTTGTCGTATATGTAGATTGGATATTCTTCATTGATTGTATACATCAGTGCATGTAATAGTTCTGAGTATATCAATCTGGCATGAGAGGCATCCTAAATGCTCAGTGATAACAGCGTAGGTATATATGATCAGAGACTTTGGGTTCGGTTCCTAGTTGAGCCAAAGAAAAATATGTGGTTTTCCAATTTCTTCTTGTAAAAACTTAGATAGGGTCGGTCGGTTTTTTACGTCAGTGCTTCCACTTGCAAAGATAAATTTCCCTAATATTGCCTCAATTTTCCACAAACGTTTTCCTCTAAGTGGAAACACATGCAAGCATGATCCACCAAAAAAGTTTAGGGTCGGGATTTCGGCGTCCAAAAGCTAGGTAGGGTCGGCAAACCGGAAGCCCACATATTTTTTTTTTGGTCTTGGGACATTCAATTGAAATGTTTCAGCAAATGTCTCCACACCATAAGTACTGTACGCAGAAACTAATTATATTTAGTGGCACACTAAGTTGACTGTTAATATAAACGCTTTAAATTATTACTCTGATTGTGCAATTCGCCAATACCGCTATAAATATATATCTCACGATGGATGTATAGTAGAGTGCTGTGATGTGATTTATTAATTAGCTCATTAAAATTCCTACTGAAACAAAAAAAATCAGTGGTGGATCGTCGCGAAATATTGTGGGAGAGGGGGAGGGGGGAATTTAGGTTAATTATTACCACCCTTTTGTTGATGAAAATCTCAGTTACTGAAATTGTTTGTCTTAAATTTGTTGCAAATATGCTTAATTCACAGCCTACCAATGCCTTCATTGTTGTAAAATTGTTGGTACACCTTTGTTCACAGTTATTCAGCTACCATTGGAAAGCTTTCGGAAATCAGTTATTTGGGGTGGGGCGGTGCCCCTAGCCTCCACCTCCCTCCCCCTATAGTGGTGCGCCACTACTTTCCGTCTCTGAAAAAAATGTTTCTGTACATGTATATAGTGTAGATAAAATTAGTTCCGTCCAAGATCGAATAATGTAACTATTAACCACGTGTATATAGCCATTGCTTAAAAAATGTTTGTAGTTTAAAAAAAATTGTAATAAATGTAAATATTCAAATCTATTTATTTATTTATTTATTAACTTCGGCCGTTTACACGAATATAAACAAGGAAAATACAAACAGGAAAATGGCTCAGGAACACTAACACAGCGTCAGCCAATTACGTTGAAACAAATGTTGTGCCTAGAACATAATAAATGGGGCTTCGGTGGTTAGTGCACTTGCCTTCCACCCCTAAGGCCGCAGGTTCAAATCTCAGTGAGAACTTTCTCAATGCGACTCGAACCCAGGCCTCATGTGAAAAGAGTAAAATGTCAAGGCTCTGCTGAAAGTCGTGAGTGTTCTCCGGTTTCCTCCCACAGGGAAAGTCGACAGGGTGGGTTAGGTAAAAAGGGCCCACAGTAATTGGCATATGCCGTTGTCGTGACCCTGCCCTAGTTGGCAAAGCCAAATAAATGAATAAATGAACATGTTTTTCTCTTTATTTAGGGTGGCAGAGTATTCAATGTCAGAAGAAGCAATTGGAGAAGTATTTGGTCCAGTAATCTTGAGACCATCACATGAGAATCTCACGTACGTAACTGTAGCTACAGTATCTTGCCTAAACACTTGCTCACAATTCGCCACCCATGCAGCAACTTTCGTATTGAATTGAAGACTGGTTGTGAAAACGAAAACCTCCTTTCAAATTTTCCTAGCTTCCTGTTTTAATTTCCTGACTTCCTGTTCTGTTCTGATCGTTGTCATTGGTGGATGATTTTTGTTAGCCAATTACAATGCACGTAACAGAACTGGAAATTAGGAACTTGTAACAGGAAGTTAAGAACTTCTAACAGGAATTGAGGAAAATTTAATTGGCTTTCATTCCTAATGGGGATCATCATTTAGTGCGAACCAGACGGATCATCCCTCAAGTGATAGTTTGTCTGTGGCCAAACACAGACTGCGTTTATGGATTTCAAGACGAAATGCGCACGCAAGTTAAGGTCGTTTTCCACTTCGCCCGTATCGTACCGTAACGTACCGGTGAGCATGCGCAACTTGAAGATGGGTTTTCAAATTTAAATTTGTTTTGATATACGGTACGTTTGAAGTGGAAAATGGCCTTTAGTCTGAGTGGACGAACTTCCCGTCTTGCGGATGGATCCGTCTGTTTGCTCGCGTTTATATATACTCCAATTATCGGACAGTCTTTTCTTCACCGTCTCTACCATATATCGGGCTGATGGCAATTTCCTGCATATCTTGTTCTGTACAACTTCAATAATTGTAGCCAATTGTTGTATAGAATGATGGCCAGAAAGCTTAATGCGCACACTAAAGTTGTACAGTTGTTGATGACTTTGAGAAGAAAGGTAGATGAAGCTGAAGCTGAAGGTGATCAGGAGGAGAATGATGAATTACCACCTGGTTTGTTGGATTGTTTTAAATCAGAAAATATTGAGTCAATCACCCAATTTAATTATTTCAGAACTGATCCATTATCAGTCAATTGTTTTTTAATACCATAAAAAGGCCAAAATGCTTGCAACCTATCAAAATTAACCCTGTAACTTAAGAGGAATGTGTCACGCTTTTGCAATGAAATATTTTTACCCCAAACATTATGTTTACGAAACGGATCAACGGAAACTCGGAAATTGTAACTGTTTATTAGTTCCTGTTGCATTTTGTTGCCGATTACAGCAAGAAACGCATAGACTGCTTTCATCAAATGTGTATATCTTTGACTTTATATTTGGTCAAAATAACCAGTAGACTGCGATGACCTAGTAAAGCACCACAAAATCAATTACCCTGTAACTTGTAAGCAAGTGTTTTTCCATCGATATGATTTTATATATATATATATATATATATATATATATATATATATATATATATATATATATATATATATATATATATATATATATATATATATATATATATATATATATATATATATATATATATATATATAGTTCCCTTCCAAAAGTTTAAATACGTGCTCAAGATGTTAAACAGCAAAGTGATGAACCATCCACTTTGTAACTTTATTTGAACTCACACAACATTATACGTGCGATTGTCAGAATTAGCCCTACCACACTGTTAAGAATTTGATTTAAACCACTGTCAAGCTGATTATATATATGAATTATGTATTGCTATATGTCGCTGAAAGTATAGCACCGTGAACTTTTAGTCGAATTGACGTAGTAATATATGTAATTTGTTTCCCAACATATAACGAGAAATATTACCAGAAAATATTATTGCCATTTTGAGCAGATACTATAACGAGTACTTATTATATATTTTAATTATTATTTAAGACGTGTCTATAATTTCCGTCAATCGTCTTTTTTTTGCAGTTCCACCTCGACCGTCTAGAGAAATTGTCCGGGATATTGAAAAGGTGGAGTGGTACTGGGGCGAGATTAAAGGGTACAGTGATAATGATATTCTTTACATTGTTACCAATAATAAGTAAGTAAGTAAGCAACTTTATTTAACGAGGATTCGACCTGACAGTAAAACTGAAAAACTTGAAATCATCTTGCATATCGGTAAGGTCACATTGTTAAATAATTGCATGTTTAGTAACAAACTTGATTGAATCAGTACGGTCACTAAATTGAGGATGTTCATTAATTAACCTAATGAGTTATTAGAAAAGATTAATTGGTCCCCAAAAATCACATCGACCTATTTCAATAGATCTATTTTAATGGGGGGGGGGG